TGGGTGATATTTTTGTTAAATGGCTAACCCCTGTATAATGATATGTAAAAAAAATATAAAAATAAAACAGTACTAAAATTGGTATACGCATGATGAAGTGGGCTATGTGAGCTTCACATTTGTAAAAAAGAAAAGACTTTTTTGGTTCGAGAATAAAATTTTGGCCATAATCCGAAAGGGTGCATACACATGAAAAGCTAGCTTTACAGGAGGTAAAATTTTGACAACAGCACACGACGCAAAATTGCAAAAAATCAAGTTTTACAACTTTACTGGGACCCAGATAATTCTGCAACCAGGTAGGTAATCTTTAATTTCAGACAGAGCTTAGGAAAAAAATTACTACTTGCGGGGGTCAAATTTTGGGTTAAAAATAGCATTTTTTGGCATTTTTTGGTAATTTTTGATGTGGTAACCATGGTTTTCACACAAGTGACATACATAGAAAAAAGAGGTTTATACACTTCTCAGTGCTTTATATGTATTGTAAATGTAATGCAGTTTACAAATATATATACATGTATACATGTGTTGTGTAGGGTAAATCCGCTGTGTTTACATTTCCTCGACATGTGCCTTGTTTATCAGAGTCGGGCCATTTCTACTGTATACTGCTACCATATACACATAGAACTTGTTTTTTTCTGAAAAAATGCCTTTTTATGCTTGATTCAGCTTCACTTTCATTCATTAATACTTAAAACTACTCAAAAACGCCAAAAATCCCGTTACATAGATAGGTCAATATATAGGTCGATAACTCGCGCTTTCACAGGCGCTTGTGAAATTCTGCAATTCATCACATATGTGTCAATTGTGTTATTGGTAAAGTTGATACCAAACATCAAATAGTTCACAGGCTATCTCCCGATGCATTCATACTAGATTTCAGTCTGTTTCACTCAGTTCAGCACCCGGTAGCCATGGTTACTAATACATAAAGTTGTATTTATTGAAAATGGGTAAAATATCTGTTTTCATTCTAATTACACTATTTTAGATATTTTTTTCCACTTGATTCAGCATACAGATTAAATAAGCAAAGTCAGTAATGTCAATAAATTTTATTTCCATAATTACAGCTGAAGAAAATCTTTTTTTTCTAGCAAAATATGTTAAATGAACAATTTCTGAAGGTCACTGTCAATTCTAGGTGAGGAAAGTAAATAACAGTTGCTATGGTGGCACTTGTCTGATTTTTCAGAATATCTGACATTTCTGTGCTGTTCATCGGTTACGGGAAGTGTGTCTGTTGCTAGTTTGTTGTTGTGATGGGTTTCCTAGTGTTCAATTTTTTGATATCAGTGATCCTCGATGATGTCATAGATGCCCATTGATGACGTCATAGTTATGATGACATCACAGTTACTATGACGTCATCAAACAAGACAGTAACATCATAGTATCACTGTACTGTTTGTTTTTCACATGCACATGATCTCAAAGGATCATATTTCACCCAAAAAGAAATTTTTATTCATGAAAACTACAAACCTATTCAAGTTTTCATTTTTCAGATTACCTCCCTTTGTTCGTAGTTTGAGAGTAGAATTGGTAAATAAACCTGTCAGGAGAATTCATATTACTCGGTCACTGTCAAAGTGAGAAAGGAAACGGATACATCGTTGTGTTCATTGTCTCATTTTCCAGATGTGGTAACCATGGTTTTCACACAAGTGACATACATAGAAAAAGGAGGTTTATACACTTCTCAGTACTTTATATGTATTGTAAATGTAATGCAGTTTACAAATATATATACATGTATACATGTGTTGTGTAGGGTAAATCTGCTGTGTTTACATTTTCTCAACATATGCCTTGTTTATCAGAGTCGGGCCATTTCTACTGTATACTGCTACCTTAGTGCAAATATTCAGCTTCTAACATTCAGCTATCTCACAATACTTGTTAAAATACCATCTAGAATTTCTATTAGAAAAAAAAGTGTTGTCAGGCTGAAAGTACAAGTATGTCCTGCTGAATTTTACTTAGAAAAGTAAGTACATTTACAAAACCTGGGGTAGTCTCTGTTGAAGAAGTTTCCAAGCCCAAAAAATCGTTTTAATTTGTCAGATATGTTTCCGTAGATGTGCAAGACAATCAGAGATGCTACATGTATGTGACAAATTATCCAAAAGGCGAAGGTAAAAGCTTAAAACGACGATTGAAACCTCTAGCTGGACCCTCTCATCCGCATCCAATGAAAAATGTAATTTTGGACGCCGTTTGTTCAGGACAGAGCCTTTATTATGATGCTTGTCATCTCAGCTGGTCCCAGCCATTTTACTCAAACAGCATTAATCAGTTTCTTCAAGTTATCGATAATTAACTACGACTTGTGTAACTTAATTATAAACATACAAAATGTTACATTTAAACAATTACATTACTAGCAAATTAGTGAAATGTTTGAATGTGGCATTCCTGCCTGAACCTTTGAGCAAAACCATGGAACGCCTGAGTAACGTTACAATTGTTGCTGCATGACGTTATTCAGGCGTGTTTACAACAACGTTTTTTTTTTACATGTTTAAGGGGTTTATATCTACTTTCGGTAAAAATGCCCCCCCCCCCCATTCTATATATGTATATATGTAATCATTGGGGATGGCATTTTTACTGACAGTAAAAATGCTCCCCCGTCTCCCCCCAATGATATATATAGCATTTTTACCGAAAGTCTATCAGCGTGCATGACTTCGCTAGGAAGCCACTTGTGTTGTGGTAGATTTGAAGAAAGATTGCTTTTAATTAACTGTTTAACCTCCATTTGGCAATAGCTGGGCAACAAGATCTCTTTCTTTGTTAATTATCAGAATTACAATGACAAAATTGTTGGTGGACACTTCACTAATGGATTAAAATATTATGTTTTGTCATGAGCTACCTCCCCTAAACCACACATAGCGATAAATTTATTTGAGAAATGTATATCAGGTCCAGATAACACTTTGGTACAGAACAACCGAAATCCTTGATATGAACGAACCAAACAATGGTACAGATCGGTTGCCTAAGGGTACAGAATGACTGTACTATAGGGACCTCTCATTCCATACCCAAGCACCCTCATACCAAGATTTCAGACCCGTTCTAACACAAATTCCAATATTTGGATTTGCATCTCTTCTTGCACACATATCTATGGCAGCCTGAAGGATAGTGTTGGGAATCAAAAGTGGAAATCATAATCAATTATTGGAAGACTTTTAATGAAAGATTATCGATCATAATCAGAACATCCAAATTCTGGTAAATCTATCTGAAATATGTATGATTATGATGGTATATACCACATAGAATTAGGATTTGCAGCATAATTTAGCCAGGTAAAATCAAAGGGTGACTTGGTTTATCCATTTGGCAGTCTTTTGTGCTTTTAGGACTCGCACAACTTAATCATTTACTATATGTTATTATTAAACATTTTAGCTAATAACTTAAATATTTGAAGTTCAACACCAGTGACAACTGTCTGGATTCATAAATACATACCTTACAATGGCTACAAAGTGACTTTTTTGATAGGATTAGTGGCATATTGGAGTGTCACAGTGTCCAGAAGTTGACAACCGGAAGTGTACAAGCTAAATCAGTGACCCAAAACAGAAACGCCCCCAGACGTTTTTTGCCCCTGTGCAAATCTTCACACAGACATGGAAATATATCAAAAGTATACATTTTTCAAAAGTTCGATACCTGTACATTTCGTTCATCTAAAATTCTGTCATCAGTTCCTCATTTAACTTCCTCCGTGGTCCAGTAATTAGCCGGAACTGATTTTAGATTGAAACTACAAATGTATTAGACACTTGCTGATTGGCTGATTTAGTTGTGACAGTGCGAGTCCTTTAACTATGAGTGCTTTGGTGCGCTAGTTATCCATACTGTTCCGAATTGTAGCTTCGGAATGAGGAAATCTGTTACGTGACAATGTGTAAGATCATTTTATTTTTATTTTTATTCCCACAATTTACATGTTGTTATTGCTCGCCCAGCGATACTAGTGGAAGGGACTGTGGTACTTAAGGATTGCAATCTTTCTGTCCCTCCTAATAGTCTGTCCTCTGCATATCTACTACATTTATGTATTTCATAAAAATTTGCATAGATGTAAAATACATCTTCATTCGTGAGAAAGCAGAATATTGCATACCCAAAGTAGTCACCTTCTAATATTTTTACAACTGATTCCAATGACTTAATATGTACAGTTCTTCTGAGATGTATATCTCACAAACTATATCGCCTGGAATTATAACTTGGTGGTAAATTTGGTATAATGGTATATCTTGTGATGGCAGAGGGTTGTTTACCAAAAGCAGGTCCCCAATACCTATGTTTTGATCTTTTACCTCAACTATTGAAACATTTTAACTGGGGATTATCTCTCCTATCACCCATATTTATTGAAATTTGGTATGCAGGTATGTATGGGATCTTCGTATGGCAGAATTTCGCATACTAAAAGTCACTGTGACCTATATAATTTGACCTGGGATCCAAATAATTGAAAAGTTTGCAGTCTGAGCATATAACATATTGGATTTGATAATTCAGTGTGCAAGTAGAATTGATATTATTTCAGTTCGATTATTTGACATAGTGAGAGAGGAAAAAAATTGTAACATTTTTTACTTAACGTTGCATTATTTAGAACAATAAAACAATAGCGGGGGGGGGGGGGGGGGGTGATGTTAGATACAAGATATAAGAATTTTTACTTAATGTCGCATATTTAAAACAATAAAACAATAGCGGGGGAGTTGTAACATTATAAAAAAAACGTTAGATACAAGATTTCTATATAAGAATTTTCTCTTTAACGTCGCATATTTAAAACAATAAAACAATAGCACTGTATGTAATGCTATCCTTGTGACAAACATGAAGTATAATAACCATCACATGTTCCCTTATTCCACATTTACTGGTGGGGCCCTTTGGATATTTCCTTTAATATTTTGACTAAATATTTATATCTTTCTGTTTAAAAGGATGTCGACGACCTCATTGATCAAGCAGTACCAAGCAACATACTACTGGACAGGCCATTACAACTGGACCCACAGCTAGGTCAGTCAACTCTATATCTGTTTGTCCTCTTAGATTGTCATTTAACACTGACCTTGAATCAACTCTCTCCGACTTGACCTTTGCTTGACCCTTAAAGATTAAGGTTTAAGTTTATGATAAGAGAATGCAATAGCGACCACTGCCTGTCACATTACCAAACAAGTCAAACTACCTTTATCATATAACTCAATACGAAATTCTTGTGGTAACAGTTACACTTTGTAAGAAACTGAATCCAAAAAATAAGGCAAAAATAAATTACTACTGTTTCTGCCAACATCTTCAGAAAAAATAGGGTAAGTAGGTAGGCATTTTTTTTTTATTTTGAAAAATATTTTTACTATGCTTATATAGAGCAGAAGACCTGAATTTAACAGTGCATAGCACTAAATGTCAATAACATCTTCATTGGGGTAGACACAAAAATCTAGGGTAGGTAGCTATAGGGTTTGCAGAAACACAAGATTTTTTAAAATTTTGCATCAATCCTGGTATTATTCAAAGGACAAGGTGATTACAAATCTGTGTGTGTTTTGACTCATAGAAGAGTTTCTGCATTTGCTTTAAATGTAATATTGTAATTAAAATCCCTTTGAGATGATTGTTAAATCATGATCAAAGAGGCTAGAATATAATTGGTGTTTTTAGGTCACCTGAGACAAAGTCTCAAGTGACCTATTGCGATCGCCTTTTGTCCGTCGTCGTCCGTCGTCCGTCGTGCGTCCGTAAACAATTTACATTTTCGACTTCTTCTCCAAAACCCCTGAACCAATTTCAATGAAATTTTGCAGGGACCTTCCATGGACAAAGGTCAACAAAA